CCCTCAGGTGAAACTGGAATTTCAGTTCGCAGGAAATGCCTGAACATCCTTATTCTGAAACAACAGAAATGAAATTTCCTTGCGTCTCATGGAATAGGGAGATGCAGAGTTTGGTTCAGAAAACTAGAAATGAGTTTTCATTTCATTTCGACTCTACTGCAATGTTCCTGGGGCCCCAAGGCCTGGCAGGGAGTCGGGGAGCTGGGACTCCCAAGGCTTGCATGTTGTGTAGGAACTGGGGATCCTGATAACCCAGGGCCAGGCAATTATTTAGGGTACTGAGTTTTGGCAAGCTATCGAGGGCCGCAAGACAGGCAGCCGGGACAGATAAATATTAATTCTGTAAATTTTTTAGAGGCCCTGTGGGCCAGATAGAATGACCTGGTGGCCCGCATTTTGCCTGCCCCTGTAATAACCCCAGATCCAGCACCATTTGTTTGGGCTTTCGAGATCTCAGTTGCGTAGAAGCCTGGGCTTCATCATCCAGGTGAGATGACAGTAGACTTACTTCCACGTAATGGAAATGTGCCTGATTTCTTTTAGAACTCCATTCAGTTCAGCACGTTCCCGTCGAACCTGATGACTGCAGTGAAAGGGGGAGAAATGTCCCTTTGGAAATTTTCCTGGTAGCTCTACATGTAACTTTTCAAACAGCAGCACGGAGCTGTGCCGTACTCAATCCTTGTTCTGCCTGAATAGTACAGGGTCATTATTGGTACAGAGAAAGGGAGTGCCGCTAGTGAGCCATTGCATTTGTGACAGCAATGCAGTTCTGATAAGAAGAAAGGGTGGAGTGGAGTTGCTGTGTTTGTTATACACCTGCCAGGTATATAATATTGTCGGTGACGTTGCAGTTTGGTGTTGGATGAAGGGATCCCATGGCTTGGTCTCTGTTTCTGCCAGCCTACTACCTCACCCTAGTTTCTGAGAGTCAAGTGGAGTCTTTTAATTGAATGTATTGTCACCAAGAGCAAAGGACCGGCCCACCAAGTTTTCTTACAGACATGAACGTATAACTTCATGTGTCTTCAGTGATTCTAGTTCAGCCATATTCCCTTACACCAGTGTTACCAATTGCATGAGAGGTAGCTGAGTGCCTGATCTGGCCTGCAGAATCTTCCTTACTGGTAAGCAGGGAGGAGGAAAAAGCTTTCACTGCAAACAGGAGATTTGCCGTAGATAGGGGGGTCTGATCTAACAGAAGCATTTCAGTGGTGCTTCTGCCAAAGTCACCATCCAGGGTGGGCAAACTCCAGTTAAGAACTATATGTATTTACAAAGAGGCAGAAAACTTAAATATTCTTAGAAAATACCAGGAAAAACCACTATCAGATGCAAATATTTTTGGATTTTTGTTCAAATGTTGATTAAAGTTTTCCCCGTGGTGTGGTGAGCCCAAATTTGTCCTAATGCATGAAAACCAGAAGTGCAGCAGACGAGAAGTGTAATGCAGAATAGTGAAACAGGCTAAGCTGTATTTGATCCATCCATCAGCAGGAAAAAAATGCAGAAACTGAACAGATTCTTTAAACTGAATGGAAACTGAAAGGATTCTTTAGCTGTTCAGTTTTTAATCTCTCTCTTTACATAATACTGCTAAGGAGATTTAAATCTGAAATCATTTCACCTGAAATGTCACTGTCTTTTTATAATAACCAAACTTCTTATGCTGTTTATTATTTTTAAAACTATTATTGCATTACCTTTCTTCTTTTCTCTAAGCACTCTGAAATCTGCTTGTCCTACTTCACCTCTGATACATAAACTCCCTCCATCCTAGGTTAGTTTTAGAAACTTGCTGCCTAATAGGGTCTCTGTCATCCTTCGCATGGTCTTCCTTTTGGAGCATCTTACTGTGTATTTTTACCTTATTCCGTTGTGATCACTGCGTTTCCTTTAGTTGACAGTTGTTTAAAATATGTGCATTTTCTGGTGTCAGGAGCTAATAGTCCTTTTAATCTTTTTCGCCTTTTGTGACATTTTTAGCTCCGTCTTCACCTTTCTTCATTGTAGCCCTGATATAAGCTGGTTTTGGGTTTTCTGGGGGGATTTTTAAGTAAAGTTTTAGAGCCCAAGACCAGCCCCAGGCTAGCAGCTTTTCAGATGGAAGTTTTCTGTCAGCCTTTAGAGCAAGGAGACTATAATAGATAGCAGTGGGTCCCAGTCATATTTCAGGTGAACCGTTTTTAAGTGAGAGAGGCAGACTTTAGGAGGTTTCAGTGCATGACATGTTTATGGATAAAATTAGTGCCGCAGGTGACTTTGTGGCAAGGACACGTCCAGGCATTCATGTCCGCTAGAAAGTGGGCAGAGACCCTAAAACCACCAAAACCTTGGATTTCTTTCAGTTTGGACTAGACTTTTTTGATCTCAGAAGTCAAAAGAGCCATTATCCCTTGAATCGTTCAATTCCTGTTGTTCAGACTTCCATATCTTGTGGCCTTGAGCATTTCTCTCTAGCTTTTAGATGAGAATTTGCCAGCACTTGTATTTGTCTTCTGCACACTAGAACGTGCCCAGCAGCAGCAATGGCTGGGGCTGGCAATGGGCAGGAGCATCCCTAGCTTTCCGGGAGTTTGCTAACTGCAGTGTATGGGAGGAAGCCTTGTGGGTCTGTAGACTGGCCCCAACAGAAGGAGGGAGGTGTGATTTCAGGGGGGTTGCATGCCATCCTCACGTCGGGGCTGTCTGTAGATAGTGTCGGCCTCTCCTTCTCATGTTTGCTGGAGGAAGAGAATGTGCTTAAACTCGTAGGGTACTTCCAGCGTACATGGTTGTCTTAGCATGTGAGGAGTCTGGTCTTTTCCTGTGCTGAAACTAAAGGTTAACCAACCCCTGCCCCCTTTCTCTTAGATCTCAGGCATAGCAGCGAAGTTGTGCAATAGAGGCAAACCCACAGTACTGTCAGAGGATCTCCCTGGAGCTTCGAGAGCCGTTTCAGAGACCTGTGTTTGTTTAGGTGTGATTGTTACCACTACTAGAAACTATGGTTAAGGGCTGGGGACTCCCAACGTGAAGTGCTTTCTAAAAGTCGGTGCTTCGGCAGATTAGGTGTGTTCACGGCGCTCAAATTGAGCTTCCAAGAACCTGGATACAGTGGAAAATGTGTTCAAGATGTTGCTGAACTGAGCTTCAGGAAAAATCCAGGGAGGCAGCCGCCTGCCAGCTTTGCTCCCTTTACCCGCTGCAGCAGCAAGCAGGGGACTCGACAGCTGCTTTGCCAGTTGTGGAAGAAATTCTTCCACGAGCCCCCGCGACACGAGGTGGTGCTGCTACTAGGTTTTTTTAGATGGCTCAGTGGTGCAGAGCTGCTAATAGACTGCCAGAGCAAGTTAAAGCTTCTTGACCTCCTGCGTGCCATCTTTTTCCCAGACTAAAAGGTGTCTATAGTTTGGTTGGTGCTATGGTATTTTTGGCCCCAAGTACTGAGGCGGTGCTAACGTTGAAGAAGGCTTGCTTTGTGCACCACTCAGTGGGCCCTTGTGTATCTTAGACTGGTGGAAAAAATGTTTTCAAAGGTGTCTCAGTGCAACCACCAAAAGCTCAGCAGTCTAGAGCACACAGCAAAGGGCTCACTGGTACCCTGGCACCCAGAGGCAGGACTCAAGTGAAATTTGCTGCTATGCATGTCAATAGAAAGGTAACTTGCTGGGTCAGAATTGGGGAGGCTACTTTCTGTGAGGGACTTAGTGCCATATAGATGTTTGCAGAAGTGCCTTTACAAGTGATTTGGTAATTGGATGCCCAGGTGCTGAAGTCACTTTTGGAAATGGAAATTCCTAAGTTAGTTCCATGCTTTTTGAGCCCTTACCCATTTATTATCTATTCTCTTCTTGTTTCTGTAATTACACATGCAAGTGCTAATGAGGTATTTTGAAGGAGGCTTGCCTTGGATCTCATGCATGATAAATGGCTCCTGGGGCACTGCCAGAATGAAGTGGAAAGAACATGATTGAACCCCAAATGCCTTTAAATAGGTTTGCAGTGCAGCTGCCTTGTTTACGTTATGCTCGGTTTGTCACTGCCATGTATAACAGGAACACCCTCTTGGATTTATGTATGGGGGCTTTCTGACAAATCTGGAAAAAAAAAAAGGGGGGGGATTTTACAGCTGCCTGCTAATAAAGCAGCCTGCTTCGTGCTCAGATTGTGAGACTGGAAGTCATTTAGAAGTTTTGAAGAGGCTGGGGTATCGCCGAAGTATGCAATCCTTCAGCCTAGATGACGGCTGCTTGGAGCATGTTCAGCTGCAGGCAGGAGGGCTGGTGTATGCTTGAAGACTGCACGTTTTTTTGGAAACACAGTGAACTGCCTATCTGTAGTAGCAGACTGCAGTTCTTGCCAAAGAGGTTGGGATGGTTTTGGAGGGAGAGATGGGGAAAGAAACAGGGGCTTGTTTTGCTGAAATAGCTTTGGGACGCAGCAGTGGCAGGCAGTGACCTATGGTCATTACCTGCGTTGTCTGTGGTTTTGACTTGGAAGGCTCGAGGAGGAGAGTCCAGTCCCCTCGCCCTTGGTTGGGGTGGCAATGCGCAGTGTGGTGGTGCCTTTGCTTTTATTGAAAATAGTCCCATCAGCGGCAGAGACTGACTGCGCCTTTGTACCCTGCGCTCCACTGCTCTGGAAGTGGAGTAGCCGCAGACGTGGTAGCTGCAGGGGACCCAACAGGATGAGTGGGACCTTCTCTTCTCCCCCAGCCTGAAAGGATGGTGCGAGAAAGAAGAACCGGCCTCCACTGACTTCCCTTTCCTACTAAGGGGATAGTGGAGGGCAAAGGTGCTTTCTTTGGAAGAGAAGGAGGGGGGAAAAGAGCAACCCCATTTCTGTCGTCGTGTTCACTGCTCAGTTTGGAGAGGAGGGAGCACGAGTAAAGAAGGCAAAGCTTCCCACCCATGCCATTAGCTTGGGGCTGGACAGCTCTGAACTTGTCATGGCACCCAGAGGCCTGAGGTCTGTATTAAAGGGTTGGGGAAGGTCAGCACGGTTTAGGTATGACCACGATGCAAGCCAGCACCTTTTTCGCTGTCTACTCAGGCTACCGGGTACCTGGTGAAAGTTGGAAGGCTTTAACAAAAATCTGTCTCTAATGCCTGCATTTCCTGCACCCACTCTAAGTATGAAATTACTCAACCAATCAGAAAGCTTTAAATTACTTAAGATGATACTAGTTGCACCGTTGGAGAACATGATTTGATAGACATTCCTGTAGTTCTTGTGTGTGCTGGTACACCTGGTGTCTCTACTCATGCAAAGAGTACTTCTAGGAGTAAGGTTAAGGAGAAGTATAGCCGTCAGCCTCTTTACCAAAGTGACCAGTGATCTGGGGCATGTCCATTTCTAAGTGACCTTAGCATCAGACTCATTTTCAGAAGGGGATGAGCCTCAGTCTTTGGGTCCTCTCAGTATGTCTCAAATAATAGTAACTCTGGAAATTTGCATGTATAGAGTTAAATTTGCAAACTTGTGCTTTGAGATTGGCCAATGCTTATTTTTCCTACAAGGTGATTTAGCAGGGGGATTTGATTGAAATCAAGTCGATTTAAATCACCAGTCAGGAAGCTCCAATTTAATAGTTTTCTACAAAAAGTGCATTCTTGTTGTTTGATATACCCTTAATACATATTATTCACAAGTCAGAGAGAGAGGTAAGCTTCGTTTTTAGAAGGCCAAGCTATAAATTTTAAAGCAGTGATTTATTTGATATGTTTTCAGATTAGTTTTGCAAATACATCAGAAAACTGAATTATGATTTGGTTATTTTACCAAAGCTAATTGAAACAGGTACTTGTGAAGTCATTGGGAGGTGAACTATCTCCAGTTCACTAGATTAATCATAGATATTGGGGGGTTGTTTTTGCCATGCTGTATTAGGAGCGCATCAAACGAGCACTGCAGCCATATGTTATTAGTTTGGGGCTTTCTTCACCTTCTTCTGGATTTCTTCTCATATTTGATTTCTTTTCTCTTCTATGGCCTGGCAAGCCTGCTGCCATGATAGAATAGTTTTGAATGGTTTTCTCTCACTAGATCTCAAATCCATGGAGAGGCTATACTCATCAACGTATCCCTCAAGGCTTCTGGGATATTGCGCTCAAAATGTTTCTCTTTAGTTTCTATTAACCCTCCTGGATCCTTGCATTTCTCTCCAGATACCTCCTCCTTGCCCGGATCTACTCCACCCCTGACAACCTTCTGTATTCATTTAAGTCTGTTATCTCTCATCTCCAAATACTGTTGTTAACAAGGATGTTATCTCTGGAGGCACAAATCCACATTTTGAGAACTGAACCTAAGCATCACAGATGCTTAAAGGGATCTTCTAGGCTGAGCACTGAGTCCCACTGGGTAGACAGGTTTTCTTTAACCTTTATATAATCTATACAGGAACCCTGTAAGATTGGGCCCCTAATATAGTCCATGGCCTTTTGTGACCTATTTATAAAACTTTTCTGAAAAGGTTACACAAATATATTGTCTTAAACAGTATATAATTAGAAAGTATAATTCTTATTCCATGATGATATCTTTTGAGCTTTTAACATACCTTGAATTAAAATTATCTTTATATAGGTTTTTTGTTTTTTTTTAAAAAAGCATCTTAAAAAAAAAGCATTTTAAAAAATTAAAAAAAAATACAGTTAAATAAAAAAAAAAAAATCTGATTTAAATAAAAAAATCAGTGTTAGGATAGGCTGAGATGTATTTTCCAGTACTAATATTTTTCACATTCACATTAGTGTTGTCCTGCATCCTTGCATTGCTACTTTATGATAGTCGCAGAGTGAACAAGATGCAGAAATTTCCATTGTAGAGTTCAGGGGTGTAGGTTGTAGCCGTGTTGGTCTAAGGACACAGGGAGACAGACCAGCCCAGGCTCTGGGTTTTTTACTTTTCATTTCATCCAGGAAGAGCACACATCAACTGCTGACACTTCCGTAGCCTGATGAAGGGTTTTTGAACCCGAAAGCTTGTCTGCCCTGATAGAGTTCAGTACTTGTGTAGCTTCATCACCTGCCAAGTATTTAAAAGTAGAAATGACAGTTTATCGCCATTCCTTCCCAGCTTGTAAGGACAAGAGAGTGCTTCTTTTTGAGAGCGTATTTGGCATGAGAGACTGGGGTTGTCATATGCACCTATGTGAAGAATCAATTGACAAAGAAACTATGTTGAAAAAGCACACGGTGTATTTAGATGCCAGTTCATGCAAAACCATCCCTCTTCTGGATAGCGCCCAAGATAAATGCTCCCATAGTTTTCGGGCCTCATGATTAAAATGGTGCATCCCACGGTGCCCCTGATCTTCAATGGCGTCAGGTTCTGCAGTCCGTGGCCAGCTCAGGGGAAACTTCTGTCTCTGGCGCTTACAAAATTTCAAGCCATGGGTTCCCTACTTGGTCCCACTGGTTTTAATACTGTGAAGTTACTAGGAGCTGAGGGATTTCATTTTGGTTTCTGAGGAGTAAGCAGGATCTGTTCACTTGGAAATCAGACTAGGCGGTAAGAAGAGGAGGATGCAATGGTGTTTGTTTGCAGGTGGCTTGCAGGGTACACTGTAAGGAATGGAAATCCAGCACAACCTTCTTTTGCATGATATTTTGTCATGAAAATAAACTCCATATTCAGTAGAGCTTTCTTCTCTCTACAGGCATCTTTGCTTACCTGAACTACCATGTTCCCCGGACAAGACGGGAGATCCTGGAAACCCTTATCAAAGGGCTTCAGCGCCTGGAGTACCGAGGTTATGACTCCGCAGGTAGGTCGCTGCAAGGAACCACGATTTCATAGATTTCGTAGGTATTAGGGGCTGGAAGTGACCTCGTGAGATCATTGAGTCCGGTCCCCCTGCTGCAGGCAGGAAGTCAGCTGGGATCATGCAACCCCAGCAAGAAAAAGAGTCCAGAGTAGGTGCTTGCACCACCTCTCTGGAGGGAGTCTGTTCCAGAGCCTGGACACTCGCACCATAAAGAACTTTTTTCTTATGTCTAGTCTAAATCGGCCTTCCTGGAGTTTATGGCTGTTAGACCTTGTTATCCCGTGGGGAGCTCTGGTGGACAGCTGTTCTCCCAGGTCCTGATGCACCCCTCTTATGTAATTGTAGGCAGCCACCGATCCCCCCTGAGCCTTCTCTTCTCCAGACTGAAAAGTCCCAAGTCCCTCAGCCTCTCCTTGAACAACTGGACTCTCTCAAGCTTTTCCAAGTCCCTCCTGAAGATATTATTTTGTTTCTTGTCATTTTGTATTGGTTTTACTGACAGATGCATTGAACACAGAGGTCACAAATAAACTTGCTTTGCACTACCCTCCTTTTTTGGGGAAAGTAAAAACCCAAGCAGCCAGTTTTAATCTTCAGTGGGCCCACAATGTGTCAGGGGCCTCTGAGTAATAATTACAGACGTATAGGAAAATATCCTTGGTTCCTTTCATCTGAGAATTTCCTTCAAAATAAGAAGACATTCTTTATTTTTGAAGATGTGGGGGGTGAAAATAGCACCATAGACCATCTGTCCCTCACTTTGCTTGAATCTAAAATACAGACAGGACAAAATACATTTTGGTGACTTATGGTTTATTTTGTGGTGGCTGTTAGGTGTGGGAATTGATGGAGGAAATGACAAAGACTGGGAGGCCAATGCCGGCAAAATCCAACTCATCAAGCAAAAAGGGAAAGTGAAGGCACTGGATGAAGAAGTACACAGTATGTATTACTTCTCTCTTGTAGCTTCTCCCCTCTCCAGAGAAATCCTAACTGCTTGTGCATGTCAAATAACCAAACTGCAATCATTTATATATACATAATTACTACATTCTGTGCATTTCAGTATAATGTATGCATCCTTAGGGCAGTGTTTCCCAACCCAAGGCACACTTACAATAATAACGTTTTTCCACGGCACACCTGTGACGGCATTCCCCATCCTCAGACCTATCGTAGCTCATTGCCGGGGCGAAATTCTGTGGCACAGCTGTTTATTTCTGACAGCACACTTGTTGGAAAACACTGCCTTAGGGGACACAAGTTCTTCTTATCTGTTAACCTGGGGGAGATGTATCCTAGTGAAATGATAAGAAGCAGGTTGCCAAGTGGTCTTTTATGATTTGGTCTGTTTTTTTCCACTTGATTTGGCCTTGCTGTGCTATGTAACTATGCTCAGAATAACCAGGTACTATCTTTACATAGGAGACAAAGGTCTTTAACAGTGGAATATGTAACTGCAAATGTTGATTAGGAATTTTTCTAGCACAGGGGAGTTGAAAACTTGAAATGGATGTTCCTGGTAATGCCCATGCGGTCTGAAATGGCCAGACCTATTTATAATGAATTCTTCACAGTGTTGTGGCTCTTTTTTAAAGTGGGAATTTATAGAACAGTAACATTTAAGTTCCACATTCAAGTGATAAAGCACATGCAAGAAATAGTCCCAGTGATATTACAGATCAAGCACAAAGCACAGGTAAAAATGGTTGCTGAAGTGAGGCATAACAGAGAGAGGTGAAGTTGTGTTAAGTTCTCAGTGACACAAACTGAGGAATAACATTTAGAAAAATTTCAGGGAATTAACTGTATCCTCCAAACAAAAAAATAACATTTTCATTAGGGTAGAGGACTATCAGAAATTTGGAACTGAACTTAAGGAAGAAACTGCCAAGACATTTAACAATTGATTTTTGACTTCCTGACCAATTCATGCATTTTACAGCCCAAACCCCTATTCAGCCGTTGAATAGATGCAGTAGACAGGCACAGGACCTGGTTAAGGGAAAATAAAAGTGTACTTGTAAGTGAGACTGTGTGTCAAATTGGTGAGAAGGCATATAAAGTGAGGGCCTCTGCTGCTATTTCTAACTCATTGTGACCTAGATTCAGACTTTAAATTAGTTAAATCTGTGCAGGAAATGAAACTATAAATAGTCATGGCATGAGTTCTGAATGAGCCTGAAGGTATCTTTTTAGCTCAGGGCTGTCTGATTTTAGTTAAAATTGTGATTTTCAAGTGCTGGTAACTTTTGGTTACATTATATAACCTCCCACAGCTGTATATTTAAAACAAAAGATAAGCATATTCAGTTGCTTTCTCATGTAAATGTACCATTATGAATATAAACTTGATTTTATTTAGCCCAAAGGGACAAGGGGCTCTATCCCTAAGTCAGATAAAACAAGAGGACTGAATAAATGTAAAAGTGCAATATATGGTAGGGATGTGAAAGGTTAAACGATTAATTGTTTAACCAATAAGCCCAGCGATGACCAGTTAGCTTACCAGTTATTGTTTAGCATGAGGTGGGGCGCGGTCTGGCAGGGCATGGCGTGGCAGGTAGGAGGAAGGGGGGAGGAGGGGAGAAGCGAGGGGGTCTAATATCCATTGCCCGTGAGGTTAAAGAAAACAGTGGGCTTAACTCTTCAGTTAAGCCAGGGGTGGGCAAAATGCAGCCTGGGGGCTGGATGCGGCCAGCCAGGCCATTCTATCCTGCCCGCAGTGCCCCTAAATGATTTAGAAAATTAATATTAATCTGCCCTGGGCTGTCCGTCATGCGGCCCTCGATGGCTTGCCAGAACTCAGTAAGCGGCCCTCTGCCCAAAATAATTGCCGGCCCCTGAGTTAAGCAGTTAGCTGCCCATTCACAGGCGCTCCCTCCGTCCCAGCACGGGGCTTCACCTGAGCTGTGTGGTCTGGCAGGGCTTCCTACCTCCCCACACCCAAAGGGCCCAGGGAGAAGCTCCCAGCATTGGCTGTGTCTGGGCTGCTATGTTATTAGTTAACCATTTAACCAGTTATAATTAGAGGAGGTTAAACGGCTACTTTTTAGAACAATGTTTACATTCCTAATATACGGCGAGGCTTAATTAATTAAAAAGCAGTGTGTTAATTGCCTACTAAAGAAAATGTAGAACATCTTACTGTGCTTTCTGAAAAGCTGTTGCAGGAGAAAGAGATTTCTTTCTTTCTCTTTCTGGATTTCTATCCAGAGACGGTTAATTCTGCACATTATTGGCTCACTAGATACTGCTGGTCCTGACCACTTTTGATACTTTGTAGCTCTGAAATGAGCTAGGTCAGTCAAGAGCATCTGTGATTTCTGGCTAGCCGTTCAGACATAGAAAATATAAATGGATGGTCATTTTTCCATTTAAGAATAAAAATGCCAGAACCGTTTCACAAGTAAGAGTTTCAAAATGGCCCCTCAAATGGTTTTAAGTGATATTTTCCTGGGTACATGTCAAACAATGGCAGTAATATGCTCAGTTGGAATGGGGTCTGAGGAATAAAAAAATGGGTTTTTCATGGAGACCTGCAGTAAAAGTTTTGGTAGCAGTTCTGGGGCACCCTGGAAAACTTCCAAGGGTGCTCCAGGGTACCACACAGTGTTCCCCCAAACACAGTTCACAAGATAAACCCAGAGTTTTGTAACAGGAATCCCTAGTGTTCAAAACATCCTGACCTGTTGTGATCTTTTTCAGTTCTTTCGAACAGAAGAACGGCTCTGTTACCTTTCTGTAGTATAAAGAAAGAGTGAAAACTAAGAGCTGGTATTTTCCAGTAGGTGGTGAGTCTGTTGAGGGGTGCCTTGAATTTATTGTGGGGTGCCTTGGGTCAAAAACGATTGCGAACCACTCTTCTAGAGGCCTGTCACAGAATCTTTCAGTGAATGGAAAGTATACGAGGTGTTCTCCTCATTGCTGTGTAGTTCAAAAGTTTTCTGTTTCAGGTTATTGGTTTCCACCCTTTTCTTGCAAAAGAATTCTTGAATAGGATCTGTCCGTCTAGGTGACAAATCAGTAGTTTGATTATATATTTGATCTGTGTTTCATCTTTTGAGATTTGCCCATAAACCTGTTTTTGTCATAATTCAGATCAATAAACACTGTTGTATGTAGTATTTGCTTACAGTCAGTATCTGGAAGCATTATGGATGTCCAGTTTATGAAGTATGAGACAGATCTGGAACTACCCAGTAAAGTAAAGCCACATGTGGGTAAGGCTTTGCAGAATGAGGCTGAGAATCAGACATGGGAAGATCTCCAAGCTTTTTTTAAATCAAGATTTTTATTGCTTGGCTTAAAGTCACTGCCAGTAACTCTACGTGCCTGATGTAGAGTTACGCTAGTAATTTGCTGATTATATTTTCATTTCAATATTTCAGTCTCCACATAACCTGCACCATTGATTTCAGTGACAGTTGGCGCAGACCTTGATATAATCCTCTTGTTCTTTGTCTGCAGAGCAACAGGACATGGATCTGGATATTGAATTTGACGTACATCTTGGAATTGCACATACCCGATGGGCTACCCATGGTGAGCCCAACCCCATTAATAGTCACCCACAGCGCTCGGATAAGAACAACGGTAAGATCTTATTCCGCACAAGGAAGCGTTTGTTTTTGGGAGGAGGAGGAGTAATGGCTGTTGACTTCTGAGTGAAGAATACTGTTTTTCAGATGAAACAAGTGTGTATAAAGTATACACTTTTTATACAAGTCCTAGCGGTTCATATTAAAATACTTGTGGCATAAAGATACCAATTGCTGCTTGAACAGCAGAATGACATTTGTTTGGAAGCAGGTGTATACATAGTTATTTTATTGCAAGCCACATATACTAATCCTCCTTGTGTAGTCAGTGGGAGTTTGGCCACTGACTTCAGTGCAAGCAGCAATAGGATATGTTATGAATTAACTGCAGTAACAGGCAGACTTACTTAACGAGTGAATGCTGATGCTACGTAGGGGCTTTTGCCCACTCTTGGGAAGGGGATATGGAATAAGAAAGCCTACACTTAAATGGAATATACAGGAATGTTCCCAACCACTCTTTCACATGAGACAGTAGAATAAAAACATGTTTAATGTATTCTCTTTTGGCAAAAGTGGAGTTTGTTTTGCTGGGTAGAAGGCAGCTTACCTTTATTTAATCTGTGTGCCGCTTCATCAGTAGGACTACAGCAGACACAGCAGGCAGCTAGATCTCTTGCATATAATAAATGGACTGTTATGGCTCCATCCAAGGCTAATTTACCTTTGTGCCTGCCACCCATACAATTATTAGCATTCCCCTTTACAGACGAAACGAAATGAGGCCCGAAGAGATGAAAAGATTCTCCCTGGTGTCTCTGGTAGAGCCAGAAATTAGGGGCGTGCAAAATGGGCCCTGTTCAATTCGGATTTGGCCTGTATCGGGGACAGTGATTGGATTCGTTGATTTGGATTACTGTCTCTGATTCGATTCAGCTGAATCTGAAGATTTGATGCCGATTTGGAGAATTGGTGATTCGGCTATAGACACAGCTTTAAATGTTTTTTCTACGTACCTCAAGGTACCAGGTACAGCTCGTGACTGCTGTGATGCTGGGGCTGTGCACTCCCCAGTGGACTTGGAAATGGACCGGGAGTGCTTTGAGCCCCCCACACTTCTGTGGGACGTTCCATCGCAGCATTCACGAGCTGCCTGCTATCTTGAAGTATATAGAAAAAATATTTAAAGCTGTGTCTATGTCTGAATCGCTGAATCTTTCCGAATCTCTTCGAATTGATTTGGAGGGTTCTGATTCAATTCGGAGAGATTAAAGGGTCTCCTGATTTAATTTGGATTTGGAGATTCAGCTACCGAATCGAGCCAAATCTCCACTGAATCGAATCAGGGACCGAAGCTTTGCACAGCCCTACCAGAAACAGAACCCAAGTCTTTTGTTCAAGTCCATTCTCCATTGTGATTACATACTGTAAAACGAAGACCTGGAATAAAATAATAATAATCCCTGTAAATAAGGATGTTCTGTGCATTGTTTAGATTGTTTCATGATGTTGTTACAAATACGGATTAAATGTATTTGCTCAATGTACTTTTTTGGGGAAACTTTTTTCCTTCGAACAATTAGAATCAAATTGTTTGGAAAAGAAAAAAAAAATAGAACAGTTGACTTGAAAAATGGTGACTACTAAACGTAGCGACATCCTCCAGGGGAAAGTGTCACCAACATGCACAATCATCTGGGAAAATGCTACATGGGTAGGATGGCCCAGGTTCTGTTCTTTTACATCAGGAAACCCTCCTTTTTGTATTGGACACAAAATGATATTGGGCACAACTTTGCCACCAAACGAGTTCCTTATCACAGATCTGCCCACCTGGCTTCAACCTGCCACGCTGTCAGTCTTGCTGAATAGGTTACGGACAGGCCATGATCTCTGTGCAGCCAGTCTCCGCTGTTGGGGTCTGCATGACAGTCCAGACCATAGTGTGGCAAAACACTACAGTCTGTGTCACATTGTCTTTGACTGCCCGCTAAGTTTTAGTGGTGGACTACTGGATGTGCACATGGCCACTGAGGCCATTATTGTGTGGCTCAGCGATTACGCACATGCTGACTAAATAATACTAGAAAGACATTGCTGAGGGGAATTGGTGCATGCATTTCGTTAAATGCAAAGTACATTTAAATACAAGGCTTAAAAAGCAAATAATTGGCTTTTAAATAAATACACTTATATGGGGGAGCTTTATTTGTAATTTTTTGCTTGTAAAGGGTTATTTGATGGAATGGCAACAGCTCCAGTGAACAGGGCACAAGACTGGGGATAAAGACTGTTGGGTTTTATTCTGGGCTCTGAGCAAGCCACTCTGTGTATGTATTCATTTCAGGTGTGGTGTTGAATTCAACTGTTTGACCCAGAACAGGGGTCATAATATGGGATAAAACTCGAGTCTCTTGCATGGTAATGCAAGTAGTATTACTGCAGCGTGGTACAGGAGCCGTTCTCTGTTATGGTGGTTGTGTGAGTCTGTGGAAGTAGGCTTGCTGAAGTAACTTTGACATGCTGCATTTTTAACACTCCAGCGTGCCTTGCGACTGACCATTGGTCTTATCTCTGTTTTCTAGAGTTCATCGTTATCCACAATGGCATCATAACCAACTACAAAGACCTGAGAAAATTTTTGGTAAGTAAAACTAACCCTGTGCATTAGTCCTGAGAGAAAGCGGCAATGGCACTTGTATTGGTGTACAGATGAGCTTGTTGAACTTCCAGGTCCTTGAATGAGGTGGTGAAAGTCTTGCTTCTGTAGGATGAGAGCCATTGAAGCTAGTGGTGCATATTAACAGGTTTATGCAGCTCAAGACCTAATTGCTGTTGGGACCAGGCTTGCCAGTGGCCATTTCCTACTTGTTTAATTCTTGAGCCCCCATCTCTTTGCTTTCTTTGACAGTGCCTCTAATGTTTGAGGGAGGTGCACAAAACTTTTTCCTCCTCCAAATACCTCCTTGGAACTCTTCTTTTCTGTGAAGCCTCCTGGGACCATTGTGTTTGTTTTCTTGTATTTCCCTGTCTGTCTCCTATTATCCAGTTAAATTGTAACATCTTTGGGATGGAGAATATTTCTTTTGTGTGCAGCGCATAGCACAGTAGGGTTCTGGTATGTAGCTAAGGTGGTTTCTTGGCAATACAGTTATCCCAGTCATTAACTTGGTGCTTGTTTTGTTTCACTTCCAGGAAAGCAAAGGGTATGATTTTGAATCTGAGACTGACACGGAAAGCATTGCCAAGCTTGTAAAGTACATGTATGACAACCGTGAAAGTGATGACATCAGCTTCACAACACTGGTGGAGAGAGTGATCCAGCAACTGGTAATATACTGATTATTAAAAAAATAAACTTGAAAATTAAGAACTGTGTTAAAACATTTCAAAATAAGAACAGCAAGCATAACAGTACTGAATCAGACAGCGGCCAGTCTGCTGTGTGGCTTCTGCTTTATGGACTTTTGTCTCTGTTCTGCACTCTTCAGTGAGTAGTGGAAGAAGTCTCACAATGGAAAATTAGGGCCAGCCTGTTCTGTTTTCAAGAGACATTTCTTTCTGATTTCAAACAATTGGTGTTTACCTCTTGGCCTGAAGCACAAGCACGTATATTCCTTATAGCTCCATCCTGTATAATGTAGCTCATGGATATGATTCATGTAAACACTCAATGTTGCCCAACTCTTGGCCATAGTAATACTTTGCAGCAGCTGGTTCAATAGGTCAGGCATGGGTTGTGGGAAGAGCAGAAGTATACAGAAGCTCTCCCCAGCAGGTATCTATACTCTTTATTATGCAGGTTTCCTCAGTAAGTCACAGTCCAAGACCTTGGTTAAGGCAGGTGCCAGTAGGACATAAATAAAATTCAGCTTTTGCTTAACCCATTTCCTAAGTCTGGGTCTGAAGCTGGCTGGGTATGCAACCCTAGTAGCGGGGCAGATGTTTGCCCCTTGTGGGAATATCCTTGAAAAGCCTTGTTTAGGTACTAGCGTCTTGGCCTTAATTTCTGAGTCTTTGACTTATGATTATGCATCTTATAGGCATAGAAACAGGACCTGTTGTTTGCTTCCTCCTGCTTCTAACTTTTTATGGAGACAAATAATTTTAATAATCCTGGTAATGGAAGACAATGTAATATAGCCTGGGGCTATAGACCCTTCCCTGCAGCTCTTGGTGGGGATGCTGTGTGTTCCAGTGAATGACAGCTGGACAGAGGCTGGTCAAGCAAAGCAATGATTTGTCAACTGCTTTGCTGAAACTGTGGCTTCAGTGCCTGAGAGCTTCTGTACCAGTCCTCTGCTAAGCTGTGGAGGGCATCCTCTTGTAAGGATTTTTTGTCTGTGTGTTTTTGAGAGTGACTGGTTGAAAGCAAGCTAATGTGCCAACTCAGGGACTGTGTTTCAGCAACAGGCACCTGAATCAGCAGCGACTTCTGCATTATGTGTCAGGCAACAATATGCTGTGTGTGTCAAAGACTTGTTTGTTAGCTACATGTATGGGTGCAGCCTGTGCACCAGCATTTGGGGAATCTTGCTACAAGCATTATTCAGAATGGTACAATAACTTATATCTGCGTCTCTTCTTCCCAGGAAGGTGCTTTTGCCCTTGTGTTCAAAAGTGTCCATTATCCTGGTCAAGCAGTGGGCACCAGGTAAATATTGCTACAATAAACTGTCTCTCTCTCAGTAGTTGGTGTTTCCATTTGAATTACTGTTCCCTCATTTTATATAGGTAAGAGTGTTTATGCTCCGTGCCTAATGGTGAATCTTCCCCTTTTGGTGAAAACGGAAGATGCTGTATTTGTACCATATAAGAATCCATATTAATTTCTCTCCTCACCTCTTCGTGCCAATCTAACACCTGCCAAAAACCTTTTGAAAAGACCTTAACTGCCAGATTCATTATCCACATGTTTCATTTATGCTGGGTTATACCCAATCTGAAATATCTCCCATCTATTGATTGTCAAGATGTGCTGCAGTGGCCGTCCCACTGGGCGATGGCCGTCCCACCGGGCAGCCTACTGAGGTGGGCTTTGGAAAGAAAATGGGTATGTAGGTGGGGAATAGGAGTTGTGTGTTGCAAGCAGTTTAATATCATTTATGACATCTTCTGAAGCACTGGAAGGGCTCCTCTCTCTTAATTTCTAATAATTTTATTAGTTTAATAAAGGTGAGCCATCTTGGTTCTCAGGTTTATTGGAATGAGAATAACCCTCCTAAATGCCAACCTGAGCATCCAAGTGCAGGCCACCAGGGTATTGTTTCAATGCTCGCACTG